AAAGCGATGATGACTGTTTATTTTAGTTCTAAAAAGTTTATTATTTAATAATTTAATAAATGTGTTACAAATTCTGTTATTAGATGCTCATAACCTATCTTTCAATCGTTTGACGCATGTGCCGTGTACCATCGAAATTTGACATCAAGTACAGTCAGTTGAAATAATAGTCATCTGTGTCGTTAAGATACACTCAAAAATTTTGTCTCTCGTTCTCATAAAGTGTTACTTGTACTCGATAACCACTCCTCACACATTGATAGTAATGCACTTTTGCAAGGAAAACGGCATGATTTTACTATCTTTTCCTTCTCACTGCTCTCATAGACTCCAATCACTGGATCGATCTGCATTCGGCCCTTTGAAGAAAGCTGTCAATTCAACCTGTGATGCAAACCACCCAGGAAAGACAATGTCAATTTATGACATTCCAGGGATTGTAGCGTCTGCTAGGCCACTTGCTCTTACACAATCAAACATTCGAACTGGTTTTCGCAAAACCGGAATTTACCCACAYAATAAGAATTTATTTACWAGTATCGAAACATATTATTAGATACATTGCARGGTTTGTTATCATGCATTTAATTAAAACCCTCAAATGCAAAAAATGCGTAAGTGCGTTGATTGGGACTCAAATAAAATYATATATCTGCTAACTTCCACCAAAGACAGGACAGGATTAATGTTAATTAATTACAGCTATTAATATAACGAGAATAATTAAGCGATTTATGATAATCGAGGACGATGCTAGGTGACGAGGCTAGCCGAGTAACCTCCCCATCGTCCGAGATGATTTAAATCGCTAATATTCGAGTTATATTGAAAGCTWTATCGTACAATGCCACATGTATGGCAGTGTCGTCTATTTTAGACACGTTTTGTTACATCTGAAAAAAATGGAAATGTACCATTGAAATGTTATATCGAACGATCAAGATAATTTGTAATCGAGTCACCTTTGCATCCGAAAAAGTATGTCTAACTGCACGTAAAACGTCARATAAAATGACAAGTCAAAAGGTAAAACGGCAAAATGGGCTCGAATTAGTCGCCGACGTATAATAATACGAGTAGGACCGCTCTTTTTTGAAGGTAAAWTATAAATTTAGTTATTATAATCATCACCTTTTTGATCATGCCATTTTACTTTTCGACTTGTCATTTTACAGGCATACGTTTTCGAATCCAAGGTTGACTCGATTACAAATTATCTTGATCGCTCGATATTATACTGAAGTCTTTATTTTCCATAACCTTTCTCGCATCAATAAATACAAAAAATTACAACTTTTTAATTAATTAAGTCAGAACATTTGATGAGCACCGCCTTAACCGGTGTGAGGAACTGGGGGCAACAGGAATTCTGTTACAACCGTGCTTCGAAAGACCCCATAAAAAAATTATTTTAGAACGGGCTCAGCGAAATAAAGCTCTGGCCAGAATTCGAGCCTTAATTGAAGATGAGTCTACGTCGACTTGAGTCTCAAATACCATTTCATGACTCACCACCTTGAGTATAAGTTCCATTTTAAGCAGGCCGCGTCATGTTCAATGTTACGTAGGTAACCTCACTTTTTAGATACATCTGAAAATATTTTCGTACGTCGCATGCATCCACGTTTTTTACTTCTATAGGGCAGTAACTCTCAACCTGGGGGTCGTGGATCTATTTTAGGAGGTCGCAAAAATTTAGCGATAAATAGTTTTGAATTTGAGTTGAAAATTAGTAACCCGGATTAAAATTCTTAAATTGAAACGGAACAAACACTGAAAAAGTATCGATACAATTCTTTGAATTCAAGATTCGAGTCGAACCAACTCGTTGCACACGTGCAATTCCTGGAAGTAACGCTGTGATGTGGGAAATGGGATTATAAAGATTTCAAGAAATAGAAACTTATTTTCACCTGTGTATTTGTGGTGTGCTGATGTATTCTGTTGTGTAGTTTAAAACATAATATTTTATTGGATTTTTTGAAAAAACATGCATTACATTAAATGCTAATAATAACAATCAATCGGGACCATCTAATTATCAACCGGCTAATTCACAACAACTTCCGCTTTAAATGATAGTAATAAAAGATTAGCAAAAAAAGTAAATATTATTTTTGTAGTAACTACCAGGTGAATAAAAAGTATGGAACCAAACGTTTTTTGCTTAAACTATTTATTTTTTAGAAAAACTAATTGATGAGTGATAAAGTACTATAAAAATGTGATGATTTAACAAGAATAAAACTTTTCGAAATTTCCTTTTGTTTTTGAGTTCTACAAAAAAAAATATTTTTTTAAATGGCAACCCACTATAAAATCATTTTTCTCATAAAAGCTATACTCTAAGGATTACAACTATCTACTTTATATTTAATTTTTTCAAAAAAATGTTTTCACATAAATTGCAATTTTGACAAAAAAAAATCGCATAACTCAAAAACAAAACAAAATTTCGTTCTGAAAATACGATCACATTTTTAATATTACTTTAATTCATATTAATTATTATTTTCTGGAGGCAAATGATTAAAAATAAAACCGCTTGGTTCGATACTTTATATTCACCCTGTATATGTTACTATCTTTAGCAGATTAAACTTACAGGAAAATTCTGCATTACAACCATAAATACGTTGCTTATGGTTTTACAAGTCGCACGGAAAACGGAATTGATTTACCTCAATGTGTTATTTGCGCAAATGTGTTGGCAAATGCCTCTTTGAAACCAAACAAAGTATTGAAACATTTGGAAACATACCATGCAGATTCCAAAAATAAACCTCGCGATTTTTTTTTTAAGAAAGCAAGACGAATTACGAAAAAACAAGAAAATAATTAAAACGTATGGAATTTTTTGATAAACAGTCTTTGAAATGCTCTTATCTTGTGGCTAGTCGCATTGCTAAATGTAAAAAACCGTACACAATCGGTGAAACATTAATCAAACCGTGTTTGCTTGAGGTGTGTACCGAATTATTTGGGAAAGAAGCTTTCCAAAAAATAAATAAAATTCCTTTGCCCAATGACACAGTAGCTAGACGCATTCATGAAATTTCTAAAGATATTGAAGAGCAATTAATGGGGAAAGTTAAGAAATCTTATTTTGCCATCCAGTTGAATGAATCTACAGACATCGTTAACGCCGCCACTCTTTTAATTTATGTTAGATTTGTCGACTATGACCTGAAAACAATTAGCGAAGAGTTACTTTGTTGTTTGCTGTTAAAAGCACAAACTACAGCTGAAGTAATTTTTACTGCCATAAATAATTATTTTGTGGAAAAATATTTATGATGGAAAAATTGTGTTAGTGTTTGTACCCACGGTGCCGCTGCTATGACCGGAAGACACAATGGACTTGTGAGCCGTATAAAAAAAAATTGCTAATGAAAACATGATTACAACACACTGTTTCATCCATCGACAAGAACTTGCTGCTAAAGATATGGGAGACAATTTGATGGAAATTTTAGAACAGTGTGAAAATCATCAACTATATTTGTGCAAGTGCTCTTCACACTCCACTTTTTTCTGTTTTTTTGTAGTGAGGTTGGTGTCGCTCATACTCATTTATTGTTACATTCCAATGTACATACGTTAGCTTTTTCGAGGAAAAGTGCTTTCCAGATTATTAGAGCTAAAAACTGAAATTGAAATTTTTTTTAAAGATCAAAATTCACCTTTAGCTCACTATTTTTATGATGACAGGTGGGTGGCAAAAGTGGCGTATCTTGCCGACATATTTGGACTACTCAATGATTTAAATCTAAGCATGCAATAATTTGAAAGCAATTTATTTTCGTCAACAACAAAATAGAAGCTTTAAAAAAACGATAGAATTTTGGATAGCACGCGTAGAGAAAAAGGAAATGATTATGTTTCCATCGCTTTTTAATTTAACGGAGGAAAATAAATTGACAGAAACCCAACAAGATATAATGTGTTGCGTCGTAAGAAACGATTTAGAGGAACTAAAAAATAAATTTAACGATTATTTTCCAAATAATAAAGCTATCAGAACAGATAACATGTGGGTGGTCAATCCCTTCTTTGCAACAGATACGAAAACGTTACCATTCGAAAGCAGTGAGAAGTTGTTGGAACGTTCGTCGGATCAAACTTTACAACTTCAGTATGAGAAACGGGGTTTGAATTATTTTTGGATAGACTTAGTGGGGGAATATCCTGATCTCGCTGATAAAGCATTAAAATTGTTGTTGCCATTTTCCACGACCTATTTATGCGAGGCAGGATTTTCAGCTTTATGCATAACCAAAAACAAGTCAAGAAATCGACTTGAAGTAGAACCTGCACTTAGGATTTCCCTTACTAAAACCATTGAATATCGGATTGATAAACTCGTATCAAAACATCMAGATCAAGGAAGTCATTAATAAGCTAAAAAAGCACAAGTTGAGTATTTAGTTTTTTTTTGTACCCTTTTTCAATATAAATTTTAAACAATAACTGTTTAAACAATAATGACTGTTTTTTCATTATGTACTGACATTGTTGGGGTCGCTGAAAATAAGCTAGAAAATTTGGAGGTCGCGCCGTAAAAAAGGTTGAGAACCACTGTATTAGGGGAACGCGCGTGCATCTAAAAACTTTCTTACCAAAAAGCGTTCAAAACTTAAAAGTTGAAACTAAAATAGGTCACTCCTAAAATAATTCAATGCTATAACAGTTCATTATTAAAAACATTCAGCATTATAACAATTCACAATTAAAAACAGATTTTACTAAAATAATTCATTTATAAAAAACTATATGCCAAAACGTTGCAAGGCTAAAAACAGAAATCACTATAACCTTTCATTTCTATAATTGGGTCATGACTGTAACTGGTCGGGCCTAAAATAATAGTGTTAAGTTAAACAAAAACACGATTAAATCCGTGGTTTAATCGTGTTTTTATTTATCGTTTCCATACCAATACCAAGAAGATGTAATAAGAAGTAATAGTTTAAGTAGCAACTCACAGATGTCGCCACAGTTAGTATTCTTGTACACAACTATGCTTGCAATGCGTGCATAATACCGAAATATTTTTTTAATAACAAATTTAATTTTTAACGTAATTCTAGCCCAAACAAATTAATAAATCTGCCTGAATTTCAGGTATTTCAAATTCAAGCAGCACAGAAATTTTTATGAGGCTAAATTGAAGTTACAAAACGATGTTTTTACACTCTTRAAGTCTCAGAACAACCATCTTCCTCCGTTAGAGGAAGATAATGCCGCTATCTTTAAAAGGGTGCTGAAGGCAAGGGCCATTGCAGAATCTACCCGTCTGCAAGCAATTTATGCGGAGGAAGCCAGGCGGTAATAATTAACACTAAGTTATTTATATACCTGGGCGAGGGCAGAATCTATGATGAGAACTGCTTGGCGGCGGTCAGTTCCCGCTGTCCCAAGCAATTTAATTGATTTGGGCGATATTTTGGGACAGCAATTAAACGAAAAATATGTTTGCTGCAAGCGAAATAGTTTCCAGACTATCTTGGGGGAAGAAAATGCAGCAAACCTAGTTTTTGCGTGTAGGGAATTTGTTAACAACTTGGTGCGTCGAGGCCTCACCGAAAACCACGCAGACGGGACATTCAAAGTGGTGCCAGCGGCCCCATCGTCTAGGCAGTTCTTCATCATTCATGCAATGGTGGAGAACCATGTAAGATTATTTACTTGTTTGGTTAATTATGTATAAATTTTCTTAATTAATATTTAGTACGTACCACTTTTTTATAATTTGTTTAAAGTCCATACCAATGATGTTTGCATTGATGGGTACCCGGACGGAGGCCGCATATAATCAGATCATTGATTATTTTAAAACTCAGGTTGCCCCAACATTGGCACCTGAGTTAATAATCACTGACTATGAAAGGGAGCTGCAAAACAGTTTGCAGCAGAATTATAGGTAAAAAAACTTAAAACTACAATGAGTGACAACACCCCACAACCAGTGTTAAAACTGCAAAATAAATTCGAGCCGCTCGCAGAGTTCGAAAAAATAGACGAAGACCAGCAATCAGGCCCAAATAAAAACACCGAAACCCTCACAACCACTACCACAACGTTGACTCAGACGCCCCCGACAGCAACGCCCAAAACAATTACGACCAGAGAAAAGCCACAACCCCCAGTCATTTTACACGGCTTTCTGGAAAAACTCCACGAACTACAAAATATTTTGCGAACTAAGGTAGGAAAAAATTATTCCATAAAATTTACGCGCAAGAACACGAGCATATATTTAACCAACAAAAAGGACTGGCTAATAATTAAAAATCTACTGTAAACTACAGGTGAGGGTTTTCACAGTTACACACATGAAGAGGACAAAACCCAAGCATTTGTTTTAAAAGGGCTAGGACGCGGCCACACTGTAGAAAAGGTACAAGAAGCTCTCATTGGAGAGCATCAACTTGAAATTAATCAAATTTTTGCAATGCGCGGGACCATCCGTCCAACGTATTTAATAATTACTACTAAAAATAACAATATTAAAACTATTGAGACTAATATAAGAATTTTATTAAATACACGTGTCTACTAGGAAAGACATCACAACAACAAAATATTGACACATTGTCACCGCTGTCAGATGTGGGATCACGCGACCTCCAACTGTTTTGCAGCTCCCAGGTGCCTCAAATGCGCCGAGGAGCACTTAACCAAAGAATGTTCAGCCAAAAACATTTCACCTGAAAAACTAAAATGTGCAAACTGCAGCGGTGCCCATTGTGTCCAATAATACTGAGTGTCCTGTGTATATGAAACAATTGAATACATTTTAAAAGCTAGTTTACACTATGCGAGTTATCTTATGATTTGTCTTTAGAGTTACCTTAATTGGCTATATTTTTGTTTACACTGTGCGATTTGTCATCTAATTCTATGCTATTAGAGAACTCTTAACAAAACAGCCAATCATAACCACTAACAGCAATTAGGACGGTCGCTATTCCATCTGAGAAATTTTATGACCTAGCATGCTATGTGGATAAAGCCAGCATTCTAGTTTACCGACTGTCAATGCGTCAAGCATGTGTGAAGCGTGTAAAACTTAAAAATAACCTCACTTAAAATTCAGCTGCACAGGTGTTTAGTCGCATTTTGTAATTTTGTTACTACCATAAGGTAATAAGGTAAGTTAGATTTTATTGTTTATGAGCAATAAAATACTTAAATGCGTACCTAGGTTGAATGAACAAGTTTAACATCCCAGTTAATTGAATTATACGAAGGGCACCCGTATTTGTTTGATACAAAACATAAGTTTTATTCTAATAAACATGCCAGGAATGAAGCTCTGGTTCAAATTACTGAACGTTTAACGATGGCGTGTAATAAGAAAATTGAAGTGGAGGACGTTGAAAAAAATTAACAATTTGCGGTCCCAGTTACTATGAAAGGGGGCTGCAAAACAGTTTGCAGCAGAATTATAGAGAGGCCCAGGTGAAAGGGTGCTTTTTTTCACTATGCACCAGTAAGTTTTACTTCCTTCGTTACTAATTATAAATAAAAATATTTTTAGAGCATTTGGAAGAAAATGAAAAGTCTGGACCATCTACAATTGGTAAATGCGAACCAGGATGCCGGACGGGTGGTGCGTATGACAATGGTACTACCATTGCTTCCGGCAAACAGCATGAGAAAGGGGCTATAGGCTCGTCATAATTTGCAGATGGGTGCTCTTTTTTCCTATATTCAACGGTATTAAATTACAATTTATATTTTACAAATGTATTAAACTAAAATCTAAATTTAGATACTGAATCAATTCTGTGGGGGAAGATAGGGTGTCCATCTTTAGATTGCCACAAAGAACAAAATAATATAGAATCATTCCATAGCCTGCTAAAACACAAGGTTAATAGTAGAATGCATCCTAATATTTGGAAACTTTTAGGTGAGTAATTTATTTTATTATTAAGAAGAAATAATCTTTAAAAAGTGATTCAAGTTTAGTCTAAGATATTTAACAATTTTTTGCCTCTTAGAAAAATTGCTGGACATCATAAAAGACGGATACTCCTATATTAGAACAAGTAACCAAAGGCCAGCGGGTAACAAGGTGGAAGAGGGTTGCGTATGTGACGCAAGTTAGGGAGGCCCAAGAGGACGTAGACCTCGGCAGGATTTCGTTGTTCCAATTTGTACGGCGTAGTTCGTACACCGTAGAAACCTTGAAGGAAGATTTTGGGAATTGAAYCAACGCACATCCTCAAGAAGTCGAGCCAGGTGTGTATACATTTTAATATTTAATATGCACATTTTTACATTTATGATTTTATATCCCATTTTGTTAAACAGAGGACCCTCTCGCTGTCCCTCTTCAGCCCCCTCTTCCGCAACCCATCATGCTTGTTGTCCCAGGTATGTTTGAAATAAGTTTAAGTTGTTTTTTAATGAATTTTTACTCACTCTGAAGGTATTCAGATATCGTTTTGGAGTAAATTAATTTTTAAATGCGGGATTACTTATCAAATTTTGTTAAATAGATGACGAGATCCAACTCGCCGACCCCCCTCACCCTCATCAGGTCCCTCCAGAGCCCCCTAAACCTAGACMGGAAATTACTGCCCCTGGTATGTTTGCTAACCTAACATTATCCAATTAAGTAACGCATTTTTTTTACAGATAACAATATTCCGGTGTGTGTGGTTTGACGTGCCGCTCAAGGTGGGACGATATTATACAAATATTTTTTAATTAATTGTTTAATTTAGGTATTTATTTTTTATACACTCTTTATATAACTAATTACTTTTAAAATGATTCATCTTAAATCGAAGTAACCAAAATGTAATAGAAAAAGGTAAGGTAAGATGTAGATTTTTTCGAAATTTCAGTAAACTTGATTTTATTTTTAAATTACAGGCCACCAAAAAATTTCACTACTTGAAATGGATAGTTTTTCTCCGGAACAACTGTCTTCTGCACAGAACCCAGATTATAGAGCAAGGGTTCAACAACCATCCAGTGGCCGACAAACTCAACGGATTTGAACCCTAATGAAAATTTAATTAGATGGTCTAAGCCTCCGCGTGGTTGTTGCTAAACAAATTAATTTTTTGTTTCATTGTTTCTTTTTTAGTTTAATTTTTGTAATAAACATTTCAAAAGGATTCAACATTTGTACCCTTTACAGTAMCTCAAGCTGTAAACGCTTTTAACAAACAATTAAAATCAAATATTTGTACAATGACCAATCTTCTTTTCGCAGACGTTTTAAAAATCTACCTTCGAATTAACTCGTATCCTATCTCTACTGATAAGAATTTTAGAGCCCTCGGAATGTGGGTATAGAAATTTATTTTTTTTGTAATAACTTTGGAACCATTTGACCAAATATTATAAAATTTGGAATAGCTACTTGCGAGAACATACCTTTTAAATTAATAATTACGAAAACCGGATGCATCTATTCAATTTCCGGTTCCACCAATTGCAGGTCATATTTTCTGTTTTTTCGTTTTTTTTAGCCTCCTAACTTTATTTTTCTTGGTCAAAACAATAGAGTAATGAATTTTGAATAAAAAACGCATAACTTTTTAATACCTCTAAAATGGACCCTTTTACCACGTTAAGCGCCGCCGTACTAAAAAAAAAAAGTTTCTTTTGGGCCCTGCCATTATTTACTCTCAAGTCACTTTAAATTGCATTAAATTATCGTAACAAATAAACAAAACATATCTACATTTTATTTGGAGGATGTAATTTAACTGTATCCGTTAGAATACAGGTGGCCGATAAGACAAAAGTAATCTGTTCAAAGTCAAAACGTGCATTTATTTATTTATACTCAAGTATTGGCTGGCTGACCTCAGTTGATGCAGGTTCGTTTTGTACATTATGTCTTATGAAGATGTTTTTTCCGACGAAGACGCATCGGATTTTTAGTAGTTCAGAATATAAAGAAGAGTCTGAATCAGAGACTGAAGAATCAGATTTCTCCCCTCCGAGAAAAGTTAGTCAGAAAAGTCAAGATAAAGAAAATGTTTCTCCAATTTCAAATCAACATAATACCCAAACTTTACCTGCTACCAATATTGACAATACCATAGAAGAAGTAATTTCTAACTTTAGAGATAGTGATAGTAAAAGCGATGATGAAGTTGACAATGAAAATCTTGTGTGGGGTCCAGTGGATATCAATAAACTAAAACAATTCGATTTTACTGAAGAAAATTCGAGTATCAATCCAGAAATTTTAGAAAATTACGCAACTAAGGAACCAGCCGATTTTTACAACTTGTTTTTGACGGAAGACCTAATCACGCTTAAGGTCAATGAAACCAAGAGATACGCTAACAGTATGCAATTGGACAACCTTTTGCCTAATGCACGTATAAAGAAATGGCATGATACAAATAGCAACGAAATGAAACAATTTATCGGTATTACCTTATGGATGGGTCTTGTACGACTTCCACAGTTACGAGATTATTGGTCACAAAGGAACATATACACCAACAAAGTAAAAACAACTATGTCACGAAATCGATTTGAATTACTTGTTAGAACTTGGCATTCTTGCGACAATGCGTCCGCACCTACTAATGACAGACTATACAAAATTACGCCTTTGATAAAATCCTTAGTGAAAACATTTCAATATGCCGTTACGCATGCCGCAGAAATTTGTATCGACGAAACGTCGGTGCCATTTAGAGGAAAATTAAGCTTCAGGCAGTATATTCCTAGCAAACGGCACAAATTTGGAATAAAGCTTCATAAACTTTGTTTGTCAGGAGGTTACACATACAGTGTTGAAGTTTACTGTGGAAAAGACAAATCCGAAATAACCGAAATATTTCCGGAGCCACTAAAACTGTGTTGTCACTAATGCACAACTTATTTGATAAAGGTAGAATTCTTTACACAGATAATTGTTACACCAGTGTATCATTAGCACATGTGAGTGCTTCAAAGTCATTGAATCAAGCAGCAAATATTGAAGACGTTCACGTATTAGAAGTTGTTTCTAAAAAAAGCCGGTGTTCACAGTGCTACGATAAACTTAGTAAGGAAAAAAACTGGCGTTACGCTCAATCGAAAGCTTCACAAACACACCATAAATATGAAATATGTGAAAAATTTTACTGCCTGAAATGTTTCTTTGAATTGCATAAATCTGTTTTGAAATAAGTTTTTTTACCACATATTTTTATCGGCGTTTCATTTCAAATATTATGTGTTTACGTTAAATAAACAATGGAACAAAACTTTTTAATTTTTATCCACGTACAAGAAAAAAAAAAATTGCGGGCCACCAACACTCTTTGTGGGCCACCCACCCGTAAAAAGTTTTCCATGCTATACGTGTGCGTGTAGCTGGACGAATACAGTCGGCTTCGAGCGAATGTGTATGTTGTTGTATCCGCTCGGATACAGGTGGCGAAATGTTACAACACTGCTTGTATCTTCGCGGATACAAATGGCGCTTAATGTGTTAAAGATATTTTAGTTTAAAGTGAGAACTACACAACACTGAAAGCAAAAAGTATGAATTGTGAATGAGTGATATCCACGGCAACAAATGACGAAGGTCACATATTTTGCTGTCAGGCATCTGTCAACTTGAAATTGGACGATTATTGGACGGTTAATCGAAAATATTTAATAAAAGAGTTTACCTCCAAACATAACTTAGAATAAATCCAAATGAATTTATAAAAAAATTCACAAAAATTTATAGTCAAAGTTAACAGATGCCTAACTTGGGCATTTACTGCCATGACCGTTGTTACCACCGGGTCTTCTGGCGCCTCCCTGCATTTCTCAGCATCCTTCCTTTTCGCCAAATGTCTGAGTTCAGAGATGGGCAAGAACATGCGCAAGTTAGTCCGATTTAGGCGAAATTTGATCGACTCTCTTTACTCTCTTGTACACACATAGCTTTATATTTATTTATTTTTATTTCACATCCCTCAAGGTAAGCCCAGATGGCGCAACCATTCTAAAATTCTCAGTTCTGTCAATTGTTAATTAGGTGTTGACATTTGTGAACATATTTGACAGATTAACGCAGAAACCACGTTTCCTGTTTGTTAAAAAAATTTCACAGGTGTTTCTTTGGGCTTTTAACGTTCAATTTGTGAGTGAAAAATAGTAAAAATGTCTCCTGTAGCAATATGTCATTTATGTGGATGTTCTGAGGACGAGGTCGAAAAATTACATTATTTTCCATCAACACTAGCCAAGTAAGTTTGTGTCTGAAGTTGTCTGTTGTTCCATTTAAAATAGAATTGTGATATTTTAAACCAACATGTTGCAGATCAAGTGGTCCAACAAAAATTGGTGGTGGAAAATTTGAATCGGCTGTTACAGAAATGGTGGTGTCAGGTAATGTAAAATTGTTAACATTATTCTCTACATTTTACGTCGTAGCACATAACTAACTGCATGCAAGGTTTCATTAAGGTTGTTGCAAATATTCATTATTGTTTTTGTCTGTATAGATGTAAATCCCGTTATTGCTGGACCATCCACTTCCCAGTTGCAGACAGCAGTGATTCCCACCCTTCAACCAACCACAAAAGCCTTGAAGAGGTCCTCAGTATTCAGAGGAATAGAAAATTTATCTCGAACTCAAGGAACCCCTAGGAAAAAGCAACCGATTAAGATCATTGAAAGARAAGAAGACCACGTACGATATTTAAAAAAATTGTGCAAAGAGCGTACRCATGATATTAAAGCCATATCTAATTTGGCAGACTCCAATGTGGTCAAAAACCTCTTCAGAAACATGCCATCAAGAACGGCAAATTTTTTAATTTCTCAATTGAGATGTGTTAGAAGAAGGCCAAGAAGAAGACGATRGACTATGGAGGAGAAAGTTGTAGAAAGTTTGTATAAGCGATCTCCAAGGTCCTACAATCTATTACAAAAACTTGTAGCAGTGCCCTCTAGAAAGACAGTGCTGGGATTGCTTCACAAAGTTCCTTTTCATGTGGGTGTTAATGAACATTTATTCAAACATATGTTGGACACTTTGCCACAAGAAGAAGACAGAATTTGTGTACTAATGTTTGATGAGATAGACATACGACAACATGTTCATTACGATGCTGCATATGATCAAATTCTTGGATTTAAAGACTTGGGTTCTGGTAGTGTTGCTGAAAAATATGCAAACCGCGCCTTTGTGCCAGGGACTAGATGCAGCCTGTGGCTTATTATTTCTCCACTAATGGGTGCAGGTCAGAGGAAATAATAAAGTGCCTTCAAGACGTTCTGTACGCCGCAAAGCATATTGCGCATTTAGACGTTGTTGCAACCATATGTGATATGGGAAGCAGCAACGTGAAAGCTATGAAGCAAAAAAGCCGATTTTTGTTTTTGAGGAAAAAAAAATTGCCGTAATTTATGATCCCC